CATCCGGTTAACAATTAGACAGCAGAGTAAATTGAAAATAGAAGAAAAGATTAGCCAAAGAAATCAATTTAAAAATTGTAAACGTTTTCTTACCCCTCAGACAAGAAAAGCAGCAGCAGTTAAAGCAAGCTCAAGTAATTTACATCTAAAGTGTGGGTTTCATTAATTTAAAGTCTATCAAACAGACACCAGAGAAACAGCTGTTTATCAGCTAATTACAGCAAGTTAAGTCTGCTTGTTTATTCCGTCATACATGTGCTTTTTATCAGCACACAGAATTAAGCATGTGCTCCCTGACTCCTCCCCCTACATCTGATGCCTATTTTTTTCCGTTACACCACAGACCACCGAGCTTTTCCGTTTCCCCCTCATTATCTTTCGTTTTTGTTGCTTTTTCTTTCTCTCTCTCTCTCTCTCTCTCTCTCCTTTTAATGATTTCTGCAAAGCTGAACACACATTGAATCCTAAACCTACAGAGAACGTCACCTAACTCCACTGATCTAAGTACAAACCTTAACAGAACACAGAGCTAAAAGAGTAGACGTTAATCAGCCCAGGAGCTCATAAAGTTTCTCCTCAGGAGATCAGGGTGGCTCTCCCCGCAGACGTGAGATCATCTCTCACAACATCCTACAGAGACACGGACGTCTGCTTTTTCACAGCGCAGTTGGAGGACCAGTCACTGTAAAACACTCACATTATCACATACACAAACAAAAGAAGCTGGGACCACGGAAGAAGTAACAGGAAGTCTGCTTAGCGTGACGATATTCCACCAATGGCAGGAGACGTTGAGCAAGAAAAAAAAAAACAACCTTTAACCTTCAGTGGGTTTGGCTTTTCAGGCAGAAAGGGACTGCAAACAGGATTTTTTCAAGTCAGGAAACTTGACCAAGGCGTCTTACTCCACATTCAGTGATTCACACACACACTCAGTCCAATTGCACATTTTTCAACATGACGTCCTCCCTCTTTCTCTGTAGAGAGGCGGGTTAAAGTATTAAAAACTGCATTTACACACAACAGTTTAGCCACACAGACCGAGTGAAAACAACTTCTCCTCCGCTGCCCTTCCTTTTGGCTTGTCTGTGCAGGCTGCAGCATCACAACTACCTTATCAGATTACAACACCTCTGATCTGCCCGCTGCCTGTAAATCACGTGCTTTCTGCTAAGAGTTTGACCTGTGGCACTGCCCAGCAGCTGCTAGGGGAGAGGAGGGGGACAACAGAAACCAGCATCTGTCTGCAATCCTAATCAACAAGCCTTTCACTGCTTCCTCAACACACAGCTAAAGCCTACAGAATAGATGTTTATAGCCACAACTTCTAATAATAATAAAATATTTATACTATTATTGACACTCAGGCTGCTATAAATCAAACATCACCTAGATGCACAGCCTAAACAAAAATAAAAGGTCATAAATCTTAAAAGTCTTGGTAAGATTCCTTTTCATGGGCTGTACAAATATATATATGTTTTTCTTTCTAATAAAAGTAGATATTTTAACATTATCATCTATGAGGGGAAAATATAAGTAGCGCTAGTAGATAACAGGTTTATTATAAAAATAAAAACATTTATTGCATGTAAGTACAAGAGACTTGAGATACTTGCAAAAAAAAAAAAAATAGGCTACCCTTTAAAATCTGCTTTTTTATATTCAAACAAATCCTCCTTATTCACTGGTTAATTTTTTTTGGTAAAGCAGAAAGCAAGAAGAGATGGAGGAAATTGCTTTTAACTAAAGCAATACTCACTGCAGTGCCCCTGGGTACCAACACAGGTTTTGATGCAGACTGGGGGTTCTGCTGGACAGCGTAGCTGCTTGAAACGCCCTGGCTGTAAGGGTCTGGAGGAGGGGGCGGCCCAGGAAGAGAGCCTGGCTGTGACTCACGGTAGCCATTGATAAGTTCTGTTATTAAGTCTGCACACAAAAAAGAAAAAAATTTGAAAAAATGAATCCACAGATCCAGAAATAGGTTAACAGGTAAGAAAAAATGTACATGTGTATTTAAGTGTCTGTATCCTATTTATGACTGTATATATAAAATCTATTTTAATGTAAGAAGTGTGTTTTTTTCCCCCAGACATTTTCCTTGTTTGATTATATAACAAATTCAGACTCCTATGCTTTTTATTGGGATTTTATGTGATGTAAGAAAGGCTTATATCTACATTTAGCCACTTTCCCCAATTCTACAGCAAAGCAGCATAACTCAGATGACCAAATTTGATGTCTTTCTCCATATTCTGAATTCAGATCTGGACTATTCTAAAACACAATCATGCTTTGATTAAACTTTTCTATTTTGATTCTGACTGTATGATCAGGGTAGCTGATCTGCTGGACGGAGAAACTGCAGTTCAATCATAAATCATCATAAAGTCTATTAAACTTAATCAATCCCTCCTATCAAGCCTTACAGCATGATACTGACACCACTATGCTTCAGCATGCATGGGGAATGTTTATCAGAGCATACATTTTTATAGAAAACATTCTTTTTTTTCTTTTGCAGTGCAAAAAGTTAAAATGTGATCTTAGGTTGGATACAACGCTCTGATTGGATGGGAGCTCTCGTGCATTCAAGATGCAGAAAGGTAAACAAAGCAACCACCTGACACCTTAACACTAATGTCAATGTATTTAATCAAAGAGATATTACATTTTTGTAATATGAATTTGAGGTTTTAAATTGTCAATGCAATTTATAAAGCATCAGAATATGCAAATTAAGGAGAACTAGGAACAGATGCAAGAATATATTTAAAAATTTGATCTAATGCATTAAAACTGTGAATCATCATCAGTCCAGCTGTAAGATGAGGTGAACTGGGGCCAGGCATGAGGACCTACCAGGCTTTATAGTGTGATAAACTCACCGAGTTCTCCATTGGAAGCAGAATGGTGCGAATAAAGGTTGATTCCTGAACTGGGTGTTGGCTCCTCTGCTATGACAAATAATTATAGCGAAAATAAGAAGTCTGAGGATGAGGGTGCCAGTTTAGATGAAATAAACTATATTTAAAAACCCCATCTGATATACCTTTGAAAAAGTCCATGTTTTTCATCACGCGTGGAGGCTGTGGAGACCCTGATGTCCGCCTTCGTGGGTTCGCCTCCTCTTCAGCGCGGAGGAGTCCAGATGTTCTCGCTCTCTATCAGAAGCCCTGTGGCTTTCAGCTTGGTTACAAACCCTAAAGTGAGTCTAAAGAGAGGTGTCGACGCGAATCTACTGCATGTGCCTAAAGCTGACAGAGAGAAGTTCAGCTTCTTGTCCGTGTTTCCGCAGCGTTTCTGATTGGCTGCAGAGCAGCGCGGAAATCCCCGGAGCGCCGCGTCACCTCTCCTACGGGAAACCCCCCCGCTCTGCTGCAGCAGAACCAGAAGGTTTGGAAATGATAGAATTTTGTTGGATTTTATATTATGACAAAACTTATAAACCCATTTTCTCTATATGCTAATCTGGGCTTCACATTTAAATCAAAACTATTTCAAACCCAAATAAGTTTCACGTGGTGAGGAAAAACTTTAGTATTTCTCCTGGTTGCATCAGCCTCTGATCTGTTTAACCAAAAAATACTTTTTTATCTTTTATTCCTAACCAATAACCTCTCTGCACGTTTGAAGACTCCGCCTCCTCCCCACATAGGTGTGACGTGACTAACCGTGTTTTTGACAGCTTTTCTTTTCCACCCAGTCAGTAGTTATAGGAGCAATAATGACATCTAGCGGCCACGACGAGAAATCGCGGTTTAAAGGAAACAGAAAACGAAAGGAGAGCCGTTTACAGGAAGCAGTGACTCAGCAGATGCTCCAAAACCACTGCTACACCACTTAATGATTATTTTTTTAAAGCAGGATTTCATAAGAAACTGACTGCAAAGTGGACCTTTAAAATCTGAACTTGAATCAGAGGTTCTAAAACCAATTTATATCTTACAGATGTGCAGTTTACAGGGATATTAAACACAAATATCTATAACCCACATAAGGGTCAAACTTAGAAGTGAAGATTTACTAAGCACTTTCCAAAAGGTTAAACAACCCTTTTCTGCATGTTTAGTATTATGTATACACAGCAAGCCCCGGTTCTGTAATGTTTGCACAAACACTGGCCAAGCAAAAAAAAAAAAAGATAGCAACCACTGTGCTTGGCTGTTGCTAAGCTGTTTAACTTTCCCCGAAATATTTTGTCTGTTTCACGTTCTATTAAGTGAAACTAAAGGACTGGAATGTATTCATTCACTTTAATGATAAAACATCTGTAAAAATATACTGGCTTCAACTTTATACCACTCCTAATAATCCAATTGATGGATAAAGCATAAGTACAGTTAATATTTTATTTGCAAACTCAGAGTCTATTGGCAATTCTCTTGAGGCTGCAGGAAACTAAATGCTGGTTGCTTTTGTTTTGCAGACATACAAGAATTGTAAGAGACAATTTGGAGGACTGAAAACCGAATGATATTGTGGATGCTTTTCAAACATATCTTCTCTTCCAGTATCATTAAGAAACCAATAAAATGTAGTTCCAAGTGAAAAACATTATGAAAAACACAAATACAAAGTAAAATCTGGAAAAAAGCATTGCATAGACATTTTAAATCACACTTAGTTTTTACTATAAACATGAAGGCTCAAAAATTTAATATGCACCCTTTTCTTTTAATTTACAGCACTGAAAATAAAAAAAGAAAGAAAAAAAACACCATAAAAGAGAATAGTTCTGTTTGCTCAAATCTGGTGTGTCCTCTCGCTGCTGTGATTTGATGAAGTTAATGAGACAATCAGACATCCAGCTGATGGGGGGGGGAATTAGATGTACAACTCACCGATTTCTGAACAGTTCGAACATTAAATATTGAGGAGTCTGTACAGTTTAAGGTTGATACAAAAAATGCTTCAGGGATTTGAAAAAAAGAAAAAGAAATCAAGTCTTTATTTTATAATTTTCTATTAATACCAACAAGGCTGTTATTTTTTTTTTATTCCTATCTGTTCAAGTCTAGACCATTAACCGTTGTTAAAAATCTAGCGTAGTAGTCATTGTTTCGTGCGTAGCGCGCCCTGCAGGGTCGTCCGTTTTGTCACCACGTCTCTTCCTCCAGTGTGGCTCAGAACCTTTCCAGTTTCCTCCAACACTACACATTAATTTCTAGGCGACCTGAAACGCAGCGCTCACATGGAATGAAAAGAAAATTCACGAGGAATCGACACAAAGAACAAAAGTTGCACTTGGCTTTTTTCTTCAGTTTTAGAAGTCAAATGGAGAATAACTGCCAACTGTTCCCCTTCAAATATCTAGTCGAACACATTGTTACCCTCTGAAAAGAAATCTTACAGAATACAGAACGTCACTTTTTGTTTTACTTCACTTGAACTGCAAAACGAGAGGGCAGGGGAGGGTGGTGGAACAGAAATAAGAATTTACCAAGTCTACACTGAATAGGGCTCTGGATCCACAAAGAGATCAGAAGGAAGGGTTAATCTGCAACTTTGTTTGTATGTTTTTTCTTGTTATAGTGGCTTCCATAAAGGCCACTCCCCTCCCTGCACTAACTTCCACAAGTCCTCTTCAAACCCAGCAGTCAGAGCCACGGGCAAAGATAAGAGCGGGATCATGTTTAATCGTTCTTTTTCTCTCCCTCTGGTTTGTCTGTGACAGCTGGAGTCTCTGCTGTGTTGTTCTGGGTGTGGTCCAATCCGCTGGTGCCAAATTCATTGACTCTGTTGGGATCGACGCGATAGATCCAACGCTGGTAAAGGTAGATGAAGAACACCACATCTGCAAGAGAAGAGGCAGAGGTAACGCGTACAGCTCCAGCTAGGCATTTACATCAGAAAACAAAATAATAGTTTTAAATGTTAGACTAACACAATAACATAACTTGTATCTAAATTAAAGCATCAAGAAAACCAATGAAGAAAGCAGACTGATCAGGGAGAAGGATGTTGACAAGTTCAACGCAGAATTAAGTCATAAAACATTCCAATTTTTAACACCCCCAGAGACCCGTTTAACCCATCTGAACATGCTTAAGTTGAAATATACCAAGACACAGTGGTCCACCTAAAACCGAGAGGCTGGGGAAGGAACAGATCCATAACTCAGGTAGGACCATCTGCCCAAAACACCAGAGGTGTCAAGTAACAAAGTACAAATACTGTGTTACTCTACTTAAGCACACTTTTTAGGTATCTATACTTTACTACAGTACTTTGTTTTTCTTCCTACTTCTGACTTCTACTCATTACATTCTCACACAAGCATCTGTACTTTCTATTCCTTACATTTTTAAAACAAACGTTACTCGCTACTCTGGGCTTCGGTTAAATGTTTATAAATATCTATTTCACGTCATGTGCCCCATCCAAAGCAGATCATTGGTGCCATCCACATCTAGTGAAAACTACTGTAATTGGATGAGTCATATAACGCAAACACTCATTGGTTAGCTGTTCGTCAAATTTGTGCTGATGCCAAAGGAAATCATCAGAAGCAAGCAGGTGCTCTTCAAACTGCAAAAGTGAATTGTCTATGCCATGCTACAAGGTCGGACACAGGTGAGAGCGTATCGGGAGACGGAGACCAACAAGACCTCCCACATCCTAGGGCCTATCAAAGAATTTTTCAAAATAGTCGAAAAATTATGAAAATAATAAATTAATTTCATATAGTGGCATCTTTTTTTTGTTTGTTTTTTTATTAAAAGGTTACTTTTTAATTTTATACTTTTAGTTTTTGAAGCACATACTTTTTCACTTTTACTTGAGTAAAGAGGTTAAGTTCATACTTCAACTTTTACCAGAGTGTTTTTAAACTGCAGTATCTATACTTCTACTTAAGTGATAAATGTGTGTACTTTTGACACCACTGCAAAACACTAAACATAACTCTAAACACTCCAACCGATGATGCTAACGATATAAATTCTGAAGGGACACCTTCCTAAACACCTGCTGCACTGCATTTTTTTAGCTTCTCAGTCTAGCAACACAATGTTGTCAGAATCAGGTTAATAAAAGGATAAAATTGTCTTATACTTCCAGCGTCAGACATTGGTTATCTGTAAATGTGTTTTAATGAGGTTTTTATAAAGGAAGCTTCATGTAAAATTGTAACCCTGTGAAAAGAAAATGTATAAGATTTACATTAGAGTCCAAAGGTTTGAAATTGAAATGCTAATTTAAAATGACCATGTGATAAATTATAGTAGCGTTGTTCCAGACAGAGCTCCGGTTAGCCCGCTCATTTAAAACATCAGATTTTTCCTCTTAAAAGAATCGGAATCAATACAAAGTTAAACAGAACCAAGGTACCAGAATCAGAACCTGAATCATTCAAATTCAAATGATGCCCCAGCCTCAGTCACAACCCAAAATCCAGAGCTACTGTGTGACAATTATTTTTAAAATACATCACTTATTTCAATGATGTTGGTTTCTTATTTTCTCCTTTTCCTCTAGTTCAATCTGACAATCAAAATGTATTTGATCCCCTTAAATTGAAATCATAAAGGATAAAACACAAAATCATCTCCTACTACATATTAAATGTTAAGGCGAATCACACCATCTTTCTCCCACATAAACTAAAGAAAATAAGTCACATGTTTAAGTAGTTACATTTAGTTTCCACTAGGTGGGGTTAGAGAATTAAGAAAAGTGACCAACATCCAAGCAATAGTTATTTGATCAGATAAAATAAATTATATCAATACTAACAGATCAACACTTTTTGACTCGGTTCTTGGTCTTTATGAAAACAATTTTAGCAACAAGTAAGAACATGAATAACCTCAAACAAAAAAACAGGCACCATATTCAAGTCAAATAAAAAATGCCTTCTTCTCAAAGCTTACAGAGGATAAAATAAGATTTTGTTTTCATTTTCTTCTACCATCTCTGATCCTCAATAGTCCGATGCTGTGGATTCTAAATCATCCAGGACATGAAAATGAAGGTTAATCAGTCAAGACTCACCATCTCTTAGGCATCCTATCCTGTACATCATGGGCATCTTGATCACAAAGGCAAAGAGATCATCGATAAAGGTATTGAGAGCCTTGTAGGTTAGCATCCTCCATGGGAGGTGAGCTACAGATTTCATTTTGTAGTTGATAAATAGCTGTGGTGTCATTGTGATAAAACCTAAAAATCAAAGCAGAGAAAGAAAGCAGCTTGTTATCAAATCAAAACAGAAAAATGCAGTACGACAACAAGAAGGAAGCATATCGGTATATTTCAATTTCTAATAAGGCATAAAACATCAACAGACACTACTGAACATAGGCACACAACTGATGAAAGTTAAAAAAAATAGAAGGTTTGTGGATGAACAATTTAAGACTAGAAAAAATGTAGGAAAATCTGCATTGAGATTACACTTAAAATATACAAATGTGTACATGAAGCTCAGTCTAAGATCAATAAAGCAGCACTGGATCTTTAGTAATAGAGTACCGTTCTTTTGCAAAGTTAAAACATTAATAAGTCTAGTTAACAATTATATTTAGGTTTATAAACTAAAAACTGTAAGTGCCAGTATCAGCATTAACACCCGTAAGGTTATGTTGTACCAAAAAAAATGTGTTTCTTTCACTCTCAGAGTGTTTTCATAAATTTCTTATAGTAGCACCTATTTTTGTTTGTGTTTTTTAACATATTTGAACAGGTTGGCATTTCATGTTATTACATTGGCATTCATTTTTGCCATCAAAATGTTCCAAAGATAATAAGGTCTTGTCCTGGATTCCAATAACACTCTAGGCTTGAAATGTGGATTTTCAAAGGATTTCACTGAGGGGTTAAAGCTCTTGCTGGTATTTGATAAAGATCTGAGGTTCTGTGTGAACCACATCGCAGACATCTGATTTGGATGCCTCCATGGTGCCTCCCTATGGAGATTTTCAAGGCATGGCCCACTGGGAGGAGACGATTCCATACATAACCCAGAGCGTGCTGGAGGGACTGCGAGAGTCTTCTGGGCTGGGAATACCTTTTAAGACCCCAGAAGTCAATGGGCAAAGGAAGGTCTAGGGTTCTCTAGTAGGAAAAATTACCCAAGAGCCCGATAATGAAGTACAACTACCTATCATGCACCTTCAATGCAGTTTCACATTTTACTGTCCGAGGTAAAAAAAAAAATTCTGTAACATTTCAGGTCTAAGTTACCCTAAATTCAGATTTTTTTTGTTTGTTTTTTTACATGGCCACAGAAAGTGTGAGGATGTTTTATATAGCTGAGAAGACGATAAAATATGTTATAAAGAGCTCATAGACATGAGATTAACTTACCAAAGGTCAACAAGAAGCCATAAAGCATGCTGAGGACCCAGGAGTACCAGCCTTTGTGCTCTACGTACAATAAACTGTAGACTGCATAGCAGCCGAACAGAGGATAGAGTAGCCATGACAGGTACCTGAAGGCCATCTGTCAAGAGAACGACACAAGAGGGAGTTCAGAACAAATCTCTGCTTTACACATTCATTGAATACCTGCAGGTTAATGTGTTAGAAAAAAAAAGAAAATCTCAATTAAAAGACCTGTTCATGTCATTTGTTGATCATCAACATCATTGCAAGTTTATATTATTTTTATCAACTCATCTGTGACTGCGGAAGCAAAGGGAAATGACTAGAAGTAAATTAATTTCAGCAAATTACTATACCATTAAGAAATAAATTTAGTCCAGTAATTCAATTCAAAAATGTAAAAAATAAAAATGAGGTATACAGATTAACGTATAAGATTACTAAAGCAAAATCCAAAGCTCAGTTTATGACCAAATTAGAGCATCCTTAACAATTAAATGTACTGCCAAACATGGCACAGTATGTTCAGCAAATTTCAGTCTTCTTCACATTATATATTTTTTTGTTTCTTTTTTTGCTTCTCCCGTTCCAAATTCAAGGAATTAACGGTTTTAGCCCTGATGCATGTGTGTGGTGGCTATTTATGCACCAACTGTAGCCACAGTGTAAAAATGGAAAATTCCCTTTAACTTTTAGAAATAGTCATTTCTATTAGTCAAACTTTTTCTTTACGATAAACTTAACTGGTTTAATGCAACACACTCAACAGCCAGCTTCTGTAGCTGGGACACTTAAAGCTTTGTAGCTCTGCGTCTTCCTTTAGAGGGTTTGAATGACTGGAGTGTCTGACATATTGGCCATGTTTTCATAGACCATCTCTTTTAAGACCAGTTATCATTTAATTTGGCTTTAAATAATATCCTTAGCTAATTCTCAAATTTTACATTCCTGCAATATATTATTGTGTGTGAAATCATTACTTAAATTTTTCTTTCTAGATTGAATTCACTGAACAAACTACCTTATTTATGAGGTAGTTTGATGCTGCTCTACGTGCATCTTTATAAATTAAATAGTATTTAGTCACCCTTAGTCAGTATTTCATTTTCTATATAAATTTGAATTCTACTTCGTCCAAACATGATTAGATGGTTGAATCTTTAAAATCAGGCTAACTTACGTCATCATAGATTTTGGTTGAAGACTCCACATATGTTGACTTATCTTTGAATATCAATCTTGGAAGGATCCCTGCGATTTTGTTCTCCCGGTCCAACTAGGCAGAAGGAAAAAGAAATAGATCAGAACAGTATTTCACAAAACAAAATTGACAAAGAAATGAGGGTGATTCTTTCAAATGTTCTCCAAATGTTTCTGCATGTCTGTATGACTTTTTTTTTTTTATTATAGGATTATTGTATATAATGCAGTGAATCAATTTGACTGTATTTTGAATCAATTGTATGATCTGGTGAACTGTAAAGTGCCTTAAGATGCCTTGTGTTGTAAATTGGCGCTATATAAATAAACTGAATTGAATGAAAAACTTTTTTTTAACTTACTTACTATTAATGTATAAAATCAACTTTGCTAATGAACTGATGTTTGTTTGGTGGCAATGATACTATAATTGATTTTGTAAAACAATTGATGTGGAATTGATTTCAATTGTACCCTCTTTTTTAAGGCAACAGTTCATTAACACCCATTTCAATCCTGTATGTATTTATTTCATATAATTTAAACACGGAGGAGCATATCATGTTAAAGGAGAGTAGAGTAGTGTTGGCCTCCATCCTGATGACTTTAACCCATTATTCCTATTGGTGTAGAATCCTTTCATGTAGATGCCAGCATCAGAACCAGAATGAAATATCTATATATTTGGACCCATCAAAATGTATAAAACATTTTTCCACAATTTTTTCAGTAAACTTAATATTCGCTTCACTTTAGACGTTCTGTGGCTGTATGATTTTTTTAAATCAGCAGATTAAAAAGAATCATTTTGATGAAAAAGTTTGAGCTATGACCTTTGAGTTTTTTAAAGCATCACATTTAAATATTAGTCACAGACAACACGAAAGCATTAAATGCTGTTTTTAAATAAAACTTTTTACTATTAAGGGTGAATAAATCTCAAACTACATGGCCCTGTGTGAAAAAGTGATTGCACCCTGTGTAAAAGATAACTTCAGCTTCTGACATCTAAGTTTGCATTCTCTAGCATGATTACTGCAATCATTTTCAATCATGAAATCAAATCAATGAGACCAAAGTGATTTCAAACAAAAGATCTTCAAAAGCAAGACATCATACCAAGATCTAAAGATATTGCCTAATGGGGAGGAAAAAAATCATACACATTCTCCAAAGAACTGCAGTCCCCCTCACTGCCTCGGTTAAGATCAGTGCTCACGTTTACCTTAAGATAGATGCTGGGAACAAAATGGCAGCATGGCAGAGTTCCAAGAAGAACACCACTGCTGAGCTAAAAGGAAATATTCAGAGGACTGACAGGACAAAACCTGGACGTTTAGGAAGGTGTGTGTCCCATAACATATGGAGTTAAGGAAAAGGGCGTTATATCAACAGTAAATACGGTGGTGGTAGTTTGCAATTTAGCAATGGGACAAAGATCCAAAACACACCAGCAAGTCCACCTCTGTCCATCTCCTGTTGCTGAATTCTACTAAGATGATTGAGTCAGAATTTCTCCACAGCGCTGGAAAAGACTGACTGCAAGTTATAGCAAACACTAGGTTGGAGTTAAACTGCTAAGGGTGACCCAACCAGTTATTAGGTTTACAGGGCCTTGTAGGTTTAAAAATAGCACTTTGTATTAACTGATGTTGTCTTAGACTAATATTTAAATTTGTTTGATGTTTTGAAACGTGTG